GGTCTCTGAAAGGTATAGTGCTCCAAAACCACATCTTTAAACAGAGAATGAATCTAAAGTCTTCCAACTTCATAAGGAGACTGCCAGTATTTTAAAAGCATATATTGAAGTTGAAAACCAAAAGGCAGACCTTTATAACAAACTGATACATACATCAATGTGATGTACAATACAGAAACATAACCGTTGATGTCTATCTCAGAGCTACAACTGACGTACAAATTGAACTCTCTAAGATATAAAGTGAATGCCACAATATACATTTCTACAGAGTAGGGAGTCTGACTAGATTTAAATGAATACGTACACTTGAAGTTCCTTTTGGTATAATATGCCTACAATAAGGTAGATTTCAATGAATACGTACACTTGAAGTTCCTTTTGGTATAATATGCCTACAATAAGGTTTCGTCGTCATTCTTATTCTATTTGTAGGGTTTGGGGTGAGGGGAGAGTGGAACTTACATTTCGTGCTTCGAGAAAGGAACTGCAAAAATGTTAATGCTATTCATGGAACAAAACTTCAACAAATTTTCTGCTTAATCTGACTCCGTCTTCACGGGAGGAGCTCTGTGATATGCTGGTATTGTTGTTGGAAAGAACATTTGCCGGATCCCTTCTGCCTTTATGATGGGAAATATGATGCCTGATGCAGACTGAACAAAAAAAAAGAGCATGCATGCCAAAATGGTCAAGACTTTCAAACAAGGTGAACGAGTATGTAGGAATTTCAACTGGAAAGTAGCTCAATATATAACACACACATGCTCAGAGTCAACGAAGACAGTTTGAATACTACATTTAAGGTACATACCAATATTAATTTAGCTCCGATCCACAACTTCTTTGGAGAAGGAAAAGGTACAAGTAAACGACCAACTCCATAAACGGCCACTGCAAAGAAATGGAGCACCAAGCTCATTGGATTAGGATCAAGACCAGAGAGTAGAGCTACAGGTCCAGTTGAACAAGTGCCTCCAAGGCTCAAATAGTCAAAACACGCATCTCGCATCTCCCTCCTCGCTTGATCAGGAGAAGCACAGAACACCTTATACAGAGCTCCAGCCAAAGTATTTATGGTGGAAGCCACTGGCTGAAAACAGAGACCAATACAAGAATAAGTAACAGGCTAATAAAGTCAGAAATCCAGTTCTGTTAGTTTGTATTCTTTTAGAGGGAATAGCACTAAAAAAAGTGATGCAGTTTTAGACATTAAAACTGCTTCGAATAACGTATGATTTTTATGTAGAGATAAAAGACATCATATGCCACGTCAAATTGCTAGAAAGAAGGTTCTCCCTACACTTGATCAAAAAGCTGAAATAAAATATTTTTTTAAATAAGCCACAACACATATTGCAAATCATTCAACCGATGATAGTGTTATCCAGACAACAGTTTTAGCTTTACCTTGCGCAAAGTATAAAATGACTCCAGATATTTACACAACTCATCTGCGTCATTCAGGTCTTGCAATGGCATAAGAAGATTCCTTAATACTGCAATGTCTGAAAGCGCAACAGTCATTCCCCCACCAGTTAATGGATGGCGCATGTTGAAAGAATCGCCTAGCAACAGAGCTCCAGGTGTAGGATAGGGAGCAGCTGGCATGCTCCTGTTTGGCATAGTTTTAATATGCCCCTTATCAATTGCAGATAGAAACGCATCACGTAGCTCAGGTGGTACCTGAAAAAATGTAAAGATACCATCATGGTGGCACATTGGGAGGAACCAAATAGCTATCTTTAGGAACAGGCAATTGTATGTGAGGTAGAAAAAACAAGGACAGACTTTTTATACTGGCTGTGTGTATGACTATATTCTAAAGTTAAGAAAAATAAAAATAGTACCATGCAGGGAAACTGTACGTACCTGGGGAGCTACCATAGTTTTCAAATAATTTGCCATATCACCATTAGCAAGAGAAGGAAGCTTTTGACCAGGTACATCGACCAAGCAGCGAATTTCCGTGCTACTGATAGGATAAAATAAGATGGGAGAAGGATCTGCCAGAATAACATGCCCATGGTTTGGGTATGGAAGTCGATCATTCTCCAATTCCAATACCAGACCAACAAAGCAAGAGGGAACATCAACCTGCACATGTCAATACTCGCACTTACAATAAGTTTCAAGATCTAAATTTTCCAAACTCGGTGCAGGTAACATATATCACCAGGCATATGAAGGTTTTACTTGACCTGATGTGTGCATATGACACTACAGAAACAAATCAACTGACATGTTTAGTGGTATTAACTTCACCTTAGGGTCACAAAGCGAGCGTCGCAAGTTTGAGAAGCACCCATCACAAACTACTGTAAGAGGAGCATGTGCTTTAAGTTCTTGGCCAGCCTTAGTTTTGTACTGAACACCCTTAATGGATCCATTTTCTTCAATCAGGGATGTTACGGTGCCTTGTTCCAATCGTACACTGTACATAATTTAATAAAAACCAGTCAATTGATTATTTGCAACTATGATAAGCAAAAGGATAATTACAATTACATGATTGTATCAATTACTAAAAGCATGAAATGTGTCTAGACAGTTCTTTTTATTAATAAGGAAAGATTAATATGATGTGTCGAAAACAGTTCTAATAAATAATACTGCATGGGTAAGCTTACTTGGGAAGAGTAGCTGCTTTTTCTCTCATCTTCTGTATGAAGCGCCCATTGTGAAAGCTTCTCCCAGCCACATCCGAATGGAAGTTTTTCAAGGGATAGGAAACATTTGTGCTCTTTCCATCCTTGAAAAGAGCATATCCAACCACCCGCTGGGCATCAATATCCTCAACACAATCTGCATTACAATGGCAAACGTCAAGAGCACAAAATTACGCAAACCTAGAATAGTACAACGAAAAGTGAATTCTATATCCTAATCAAGTTAAAAACTACGTAGCTTGGACTCTTCAAAAATATCAATGGGTGTGTCGCATTTTCCAAAAGTAGCGTATTTTAGAGAATCCAACACGGGTGCGGCATTGAAAGTGAAGAGTCCATGCAACCCAAGTTAAAACTACAACTTATTTCAAATACTATAGTAAAATACTCCCACCGTTCACTTTTAATTGTCCACTTTGGTCTTTGCACGCTCTTTAGAAACAATGGTTAATATGAGTAACTTTTGCCAAAATACCCATATGAATAGATGTATAGTCTTAGGTCTAGGGAAATGTTTTGAGAATAAGTAATACATGTTGAGGACAAAACATGAAAAAAATATGTACTTCTATTGATATGCTAAAAGTAACAAGCAAAAGTGAAAATTCGTTTTTTGTATGGTGGACAAATAAAGTGAACGGAGGGAGTATATCTTGTGCCTACCAGCTCTATCACAAAATGATCAATTGTAAGCTCTTATGCTTGTTTGATTTTGTTTTTTTTTTCTTTTTTTTAGACAAACCTTCAATGCCCAACTCAATCAATTTAAGATAACCCCCAGGCTGAAGCAATTCGCCAACAATCCGGTCCGGCTCTGTCAAATCCCTTTCGATGACGTGAACATTTCGTCCTTCCTGCAGCAGTGGCAAAAAACAAATGTTTAGATGCTAAAGGGGGATCAGGACAATTGGTAAAAGTCACTAGACAAACATTTTCTTGTTTCCTGCTCGTGGACACAAGTGTTAGGAATCAAAAACCAAATTTTCCATGACAAGGCAAGCCATTACAGATCACAACTTACCATCAAGATAAGAATATTAACAGCACCTGTATGTTGCATTAAACAAAATAGTCTACTCCCTCTTCTCGAAATGCTTAGCCTATGTCCCTTCCCAAGTTTCAAACTATGTGAAATTGAGACCACATCATTAGATCGTCTTCTTTTATCATTTTGATACGAGAAGAATTGCAACTTATAGTACTTTCCCTATGGTTTCCGGTCATTTCAATTT